GTGTTTTAAGATTTGGGTGTAGTTCTCATTATCCTGCTCTTAGTTTGATTGGCAATAAATTAAACTAATTTCCCCAGGTTGAATCTGTTTTGCCCATGATGGTGATTGCTGGATGATCTCTCCTTGTCCTATCTCAACCCATAAGCTTCTTGTTATAATTTTCTCTCCCCTGTCCAGCTGAGGAGGGGGAGTGATAGAGCAGCTTTGGTGGGCACCTGGCCTCTAGCCAAGGTCAATCCACTACAGTCTTTAAAATAATTACTAATTTTATCCTTTTTTAAATAAAACACAGGGAAGGAATATAAAGCTGAGGAAAGCTCACGACGGGAGGAAAATATATCCATTCGATACACTTTGTGAAGCTGGATGCTTCTTTCTGTTAGATTGGAAAGAACTAAGTTTTAGTGTAACCTTCTATCTGTCTAGAAGTAAAAAGTGGGAAGGAAGTCAGTCCATTGAATGGCATAAGCTTTTCTAAGTTAAAGTTAATTTAATTCTAGGTTAGACATTTTGTTGACATAATAATGATGAGACTGACTGTGTAACATCTATTCAAGCTCTTCCCTCAACTGCTTTTGTCTTCTCAGCATCACAATAATTTAAAAAAGTAGGATAATTAATGTAATTTTTTTTTAAATAGCTTTTATTCTGCTAAGAATTTCTATTTTATGAAGCCATTAGAAGCCATGCTGTATTCATTATAGTGTCCTACATAGCATTAACTGCCTTCTCTGTCTCTGGGTGAGTTGAAGTTAAGGTTCATGTTTTATTTCTTTGTGGTACCTGTCAAATTTCAATTTTGAGCTTATCTTTAAAAACAAAAGAAAAAACCCACCACCATAACATACAAGTGTGTTCCCTTTTTGAAGAGGGTTTAGCATAACTTTCTGTTCATATTTTTTTATATAAGATGCTGCTTTTCAGAATCTTTTAAATCGCAGTAATGATGAGCTGATATAAAAGTGGCATCAAAATCTGACAAACACTGAAGGTAATTTTTTAACACTTAAACTCTTGTTTGTTTTTGCAGGCAACCAGCTAATTGTTCTGAATGTGGGAAAAGATGATGAACAAAGTCAGTGTTCCAAAACAAAACCTGATAACATCAAGGTATTTTCAATAACTTTTTTTTAACGTTCTGCAATTGTAATGTAAATAAGATGGAAATCTAAGTTTTTATTTCTATAGCAGTTTATTTTGGCACGTATTTTCATCATTAACTACTTTTGCATTGTCTTGAATACAAAATAACTGACTAGAATATTATTCACTTTTCAAGAGGAAGATAATTTAAAAAAAAAAAGGCAGTGGTCTGTGTCGTTGTGCACAAAACCTGAATCGCTTTGAGTTGCGGTGGACTGATTTGCACAGTAATTAGGAGCTTGGGATCACATGGAACGTTGCTGGATCCCAGCTGTCCTGTCAGTTCAGCACCTTCATGGTCCTACTGCTCTGACATCTGCAAGAAGGTGTCAGACTTTACCCAAGTGCTGGGTTTGCACCAATCCCTTTAAGTCAAAACAGGAATTCAGGACAAAATAGATATGTTCCTTTTAAGAGTACATGCATAATATTTGGGAGACTCTCACCCACTGATTTTGGTGAAGCTTCTCGGCATCAAAGTTTTTAAGAGGCATTAAAAATCTTGATGAAGAAAATAACTACTTGTGTATTGGGCTGTGGGGTTTTTGTAGTATGACTAACTGACAATGGTCTTTAATTTGTAGTAAGACACTCTTTTCTTTGTTGTTTCAAAATAATGTAGGAAGTTATTTCAGGTGATACAGCTGAAGTGTCCAAAGAAATTGATGTAAAGCATACACCTCCTAAAAGTGTTATGGACGAAAAAGGTAACGAAACTGCCCATTCTGTGCAATTTTCTGAACCCATACTGAATGCAAATTTATTTTCATTTGAAGAGAAATTATTAACTTGATCCCTGTAACTTTGATCCCAGCGAATACTTGTGTATATTCTCTAGCTGCTGGATTAATGCTTTAATCCTGGTTCCTTTAATGGTGAGAGCAGATTTGATGATTCTGCTCTGCTATCACCCATCCACTCCGTTACTGCTTCAGCTTGTACCTTGGGTAGAAAAGCTAATTGCAAATAAACAGGTGGATAGGGAAATAGCACGGTCAGGGTACAGGACAGGAAGAACTTCTAACTCCAACCACAAATAAGAGCTGTCCTTCCATGAAAAAAAACATGACATACCATCAATATCAGTCCTGTTTGTTTCTGTAGAGAAACCA